CTTGAAGTGCTGCCACAAGGGGCAGCTGACTTGCTGTAGGTGGGTGGTGCAGCTGTGGGGGTGGCGGGGCTCCCCCACATCACTCCTGCTCACAGACACGCCTCCGCCGAGAGGCACGCTCCCACCTCCACACACTGAGCCCCCCCTCCACCCCTCCCACTCACGCAAAATACCCACAGGAGGTCAGACTGGCTTTTTCATTAGGTGTAAAAGGGGGTTTAATTTTCCATAGCAAATCCGCTGGACCTAAAACTGGTGTTTTTGAGAGGAACGGGGCTGCGGAGCTCAGCGGAATATGGATTCCTCTGTGAATCCTCCTGTCCCCTCAGCAGGAAGAGTCGGACAAGTGCAGCTGAAATCGGAGAGGTGCTCAGCGGGATTTTACTGGTTTCAAGTGGGCTGTTGACATCAACACAGGAAAAAGGGGATTTCAAGAGAGAGCTGCAGAGGATTATTAGTCCTCTGCAGGAATACCTGTGCACTGTAACAAGATACTCTGTGCACAGGCTACAGAAAAATGCCCTCCTAGCACAAAAATAAAGAAAATTCAGTTAAACTACAAGGCGTTAGCAAGGATTCATTTAGCATGGATACCTGGATATCCAGCCTTTTAAAAACACTCAAAATTAACTTTGCAACTTCTTTTGACTTCATGCACTTTAAAGTTTGTAAAGACTATTTCTCCCCAGCGGCAAAGCATTACTGAGAAAAGTTACTATATATAAAACTGGACTGCTCTTGTGTTTTTTTTTTTTTTGTGCAGCACGGCCTCCAGAATCCCCGAGCTTCGGGAGCTGATGATGCGGGTCTCCGAGATGTTTATTTTCATCTCTGAACGAGAACCCAGGAGGATTGAGGTCTGAGCAGCTTTTCTCACAGGATGAGGGAGAAAAGCTGGCTCGAGGAGGAGCTTGAGATCCAAGGCACGGCTATACGGGCAGGGAAGAGCATGATCGACGCTTTCAAATACCAGCAAAAATCATCTGGACGCAGAGAGAAGCGCCCCTCCGCTCTGTTGTGCTTTACAGCGTGGGAGACGGCATTCCTAATGGGAAATAAAGAAAACTGGGAAGCTCCGAGCAATGGCATCACGGCGAGCCTGCGTATTCCCTCAATCACAGGTCCAGCCAGAAAGCTGGCATCTGAAGCACAGACGCTCCTGACAGCGCCGTATTTCTGATACTTACCTGAGCGTCTTATCCAGGCTCAGCAGAGGTCCCATTTTAAGGGCACCCTTCCGCCCCATCGATACGAATTTGCCCATGACGGATGGGAACATCGAGGGGTTCC